TTTTCTTTGCAAATAGGACAATAGTGATGCATTTTATATGCAAATAACACTGTAGTGATATTTTTCTATACAAATAAGACAATAATGATACATTTTCTACGCAAATAACACTGTAGTGATATTTTTTCTTTGCAAATAGGACAATAGTGATGCATTTTATATGCAAATAACACTGTAATGATATTTTTTCTATGCAAGTAGGACAATAATGATACATTTTCTACGCAAATAACACTGTAATGATATTTTTTCTATACAAATAGTACTGTAATGATATTTTTTAATCTAAATAGTGTAACAATGATATTCTCTTTCTATTCAAACAGTATATTTAGCAGATATATGTTTTGTGACCCCAACATTCAAAGTATTTTAAGCTTTTGTTTTTCTCTCTAATTATTAATTATTGTTGGAGAAATTTTTTTTTTTAAATAACTGATACAGGGAATTTTTATTCATCTTTTTTTCAAATTTAATTATTGGCAGCGAAAAATTTCATTATTACTTTTTGCATAATTTAAGTTTTTCTGCTAATTATACCAAATTAAGTTTAATGATAGCATTTCGATTCGTTAAATAGCATACTTTTGGGCGGCAATTTTCTTCTGATAATTTTTGTGGGAATTTTTGGTGGCTTTTTTTCACCTTTTCTTAAGTGATGAAATGAATCAACTGATAAATAGATGTATAAATATAAATATATGCAAAAATTGTTTGTATATAATAATTTATATTGTAATTATTTCATGAATTTGTTCAATTTTGTTAAATTTTGAAATGTAAAGTTTTGAAGTGTTAAAATTTTAAAAATTTACAGATGACAGAAAATCGTTTCGAAAATAACACCAATTTTGCAATATTTATTAATGGATATTATGCATTTGTTAATATCTCATCTAATAATTTCACAAACAATAATGCACCAAATGAAATTGGTTTAATTACATTTAATGGAATGGAAAAGGATTTATTCTTTGAACGAAATCGTCTCATTCATAATCATGTACATATAAATGAAATTCCCATTTTCTTTTTAGGAATATAATTGTTTCAATTAAAAAGTTATAAAACAAATAATTACAAAAATAAGTTATTTATATGTTAAATGATAATTTTGGAAATTTTTATGGAATTTTCAGATATTTACTTGATTTTAAGTTTCGAATTATATCTTCGAGTTTATTTTTATTGCCACTTTTTTAATATTTGAAGATATATTTATATCAAATTTTTCAAACAATTGCAATTTTATACTAGTTTCTTCTCAAAAAAAAAAAAAAAGAAAAATTCCGAAATTTTGACTTATATAATAGATTAATTTTCTTTTGCAAATTTCAATCTTTAATTCCAATTTTTCTTTTCTTTTCTACTTTTGGATTTATACTTCATATTTTACAGCATGAACACAACAGATGATAATTAATTAGTTAATTAATTGATTATTTTAGGGTTGTTGGATGTTAAAGATGGATATTCGATCTCATTCATTACGTAATAAAGTGATAGCTTGGATACAATATAATTATTTTACAAGAAATGGTTATTTATATGATTTGGAAGAATATGTGGAAATGTGGCCACGATCATTTACCATTGGTATATTTGGATCACAATTAGCTAATATTCATTTTAATCGTTTACGAAATATTTTATTCGATTTCGAGCTTATTTCTGGCGCTAAGGTTAAATTACTTACAAATTTCTCTTTTAGTGCTTAATTTACACTTTTTTTTGCAATATTTATTATTTAATTTTTCTTTTTTAAAAAAAATTTTGCCATTTTAATTTTTAATGACTAAAAACTAATTGAAAGTTTTATTATTGCCTAAAAGAAATTTCTTTTTTTTAAGTAAATTAATCATTTCCACTTCAAATTAATTTTTTTGTGAGTTAATTATGTATTTTAATCCAAAGTGGATATTTTTATCGTAACAAAATTCTTAATTAATTTAAATTTATTAGAATTAGTACTTACATTATAGTTAAAAGTAATACTTACATTATAAGGCAAAAGTTTGTTTTATTATTTTTAATTTCTTGGATGTTAAAAAATAATGAATTTAATTTTGAAATTATTATTATTTTCCTTTTCTCATATACAGAGCGCAAATGTCATGGATACAATGAATGTGACATATAATTGGTGGGGTGTTGCTAATCAAGCTATAATTCATCAACGAATTTTTGATTTTGATGATTGGAATATTTTTACTTTGGCAATGTTTAGTCCATTTTATGTTACCGAAGAAAATTTTATCAGTTTTTGGTGGAAACCAGAAAATGTTTGTTGTAAAATTATTAATTTTCCCTTTTTTTCTGTTATAATTAATTTATAATATATTTGTTAATTGTTGCATACAATTGTAATTTGCTGATATGTAGAAAAATTTAATTTGAATTTTTTATCACTTAGAAATTTTCAATATTATATTTTAGCTTAAATCCGAAAAAAAAGATATACGACAAAAAAGTTTCTATTTGAAAAAAAAATTTAATTTAAAAAAAGCATTCCATGCATTAACTTTAATTTATAATAATATTATATTACAAGAATAATCGCACTAATATATTATGTTTTCTTTCTTAATTTAAAACTCGATTAAATTAAAATTTGAAAATTTCAAGTCTTGTTATTCTCACTTTCTTTTATCATTTAATTTTTAAAAAAAACAGTTTTTTCTTCTCACCCATTGTTTTTGATTTTTTTAAATTTAATTATTTATTTATTCATTCATTTTTCTTCTTTTCCTCTTGCTACTTTAAAATAATTTTTTCATTAAATTTTATTACTTCAGGGACAATTAGCAAATGACAAACATTCTGAACCATCCATTTATAATTTAAATGGTCGCATTTATGAATCAAAAAAATCTCACTTATAATCGTGAACGTTGGCATGAATTTCCATTTTATTATAAGCCATTTGAACCGTATCAAATTATTAAAGATTTAACAATTATGCCTGGTGCTACACTTACAATTGAAAAAGGTGTCGAAGTCAGTTTGAATTTAATTAATTCATTTCCTTTTTTTGTTCCATTTTGAAAAGACATTACATATGTCCGTGAATGAATAATATTTTTGTTGTTTTAATTAATGGAATATATAAAATAATGATTTAACAATAAATATTTTCCAATTTGAAATTATTAAATTTCGTATTTTTTTACTACTTTTAGCTTCAGTTTAGAATTCATCTAAAAAAATCGTTTGAATTTTATTTTTGAAATTTCATTTTTAGAATTGGCAGGGAAAAAAAACGTTCTGAATTTTATTTTAGAATTGACTGGGAAAAAAAAGCGCAAAAATAAAAATTTTGTATGAAAAATTAACAATAAATTGATAATTTTATTCTTTTCTTTTTAATGAAATTATTTCAGTAAAATTGTTTAAGTTTTAATCACTTCCCATATAATTAGCTATCAAAAATATCGATAATATCTAATTAGCATTGACATTTTAGGTGCATCTTTGGCCAAATGTACGTATTCTTGTGTTGGGTAATTTAAAAGCTGAAGGAACATTTTGGGAACCGATACGTTTTAAGCCAATTAACGTAACGGAATATGCGGAACAACGTGATACACGTGTAATACGCCAAAAACGCTCAAATCATTGTTCCATTCAATCTAACAGTACTATTTGCCAATATCAAATAAAGCGACAAGTTGAATGGTTAATTTACCTATATTAGTTTTAATTAATTTCATTATTTAGTTTGTTAAAAAAATTTCGCTAAATTTGATCTAAACCTCTCTCTCACGCTTTCTCTTTCAATCTCTCTCCCTCTCTCTCTCTCTCTAATAAGCTACAGATGGCATCATTCAATTTTTTCCTATTATTTTAAAATCATTTCTCAATTAAATTTTTTGTTTTACTAATAATATTAATTAGTAATATTAATTATTCGAATAAAATTATAATATATTCGATTATTTTCTTTCCTTTTTATTTCATTCAATTCTTGCTTGTTTTTAATATTTTTCCTTTCTTTTTATCATATAATTAATAGAATGAAATCACTAATTGCCAAAATGTATTACTCCAATACTGAAATTGTTTAGGCGAAAGAAATTTTAATGATATTTCGATTTCTAAAAAATTAAATAATATTTCAATAAAA